GTGGAGTTCTATCGCAAAATGGATTCAGCAGATGACGCAGCGGAGGAGGCGACCGTTGCGGTTGCACACGCAGAAGAAGAAGCGGTTGTGCGCTTGGTGGCGGCGGATCTGCGACTGCGCGGTCCGGCGGCGGTGGCGAAAGTGTTGGCCGACAGAGCCACTTTGAACCGCGATCAACTTGGCTTCGTCGCCATTGTTGCAAAAATTCTGCAAGATGCCTTTGAATCACTTCCGCCAAGTGGCGATGGTATGCTCGCCAAGGATCGTGTTCTGTTGCGATGTCTGCTGGTTGGAGGCGGTGGATGTGGGAAGACTCGGATCATCAACATGGTTTTAAGACCGTTGTTTGAAGCAGTCTTTGGTGATGGTTCCATGCAAGCGCAGGCGCCTTCGAACGAAGCCGCTCGTCAGATTCATGGCCGAACCATGCACAGCGCAAACAAGCTGCGCAAAGATTCATCTTTGCGGACCGTGCATTTGCGTGTTTCCGCAGAGACACGGAAGGCTTTGGAATGCAACACTGTCCCGCTGGCTGCCATCGTCATCGATGAATTCTCTCAATGCATTGGTCAGATGCTGCATGCGGACGCGCTGCGGAAGTCTTATGGTCGGCAAAGGGCCCTGGGGCTGGAGCTTCATCGTTATGCGGAATTGGACGAGAGCTGGGGGCGTATGCCGGTGGTCGTCATTTCTGGGGATGAACTGCAATTACCTCCTGTTCCTTTTTCGCATTCCTTGCTTGCCAGTGTGGATGGAACCAGCGATGAACATAAAGCCGGCGTGCATCTCTTCGGTCAATTCCGTTATGTGTACCGCCTGCAGACGGCCATGCGTTTCCAGGATCCAGTTTTGGAATGTATCCTGAGGAAAATGCGAACTCCGGGTGGTGCGTTGTTGACGCAGAGCGAATGGCAGGCGTTGGTGAATACCAACATCAGTGGATCCGGCGACAGCGCTCGCTTGTCCGGCACTGAGCATTTTTTCCAAGCTTGCTACACTTGGTCTGTGGTTAGCATGGCCTATACCATTCGCAGTTTTGAATCAGCAAAAGCAGCGGGCAAGACCTTGTATGCCACTCGTGCTGTTGACATGATCCAAAATCTGCAGGCCGACAAAGCTGCTGCTATCGCCCGGGCTGTGGTTGCGCACCCAAACATGAACGAGACCGGACGGCTTCCTCACTATGGTCTCTATCACGTTGGTATGGAAGTGCGCTTCACTCAGACAGTCGCTGCTCCTCATGTGGTGGTAGATACAATTGGAATCATTCGGGGTTTTGCGTTTGCTTCGGAGGATCGGAGTCGCACTGATTTGCATGCATCTTTCGTCGTTTTGCGACGCTTTCCGGAAGCTATTTATGTGGAGCTGCAAGATGTGCCGCAGAAATTTCTGCCCGATGAAGCCTGTCTTGAACATACACCGCACATGGACGCCGAGTGTGCTGCATGCTTGCGGATGCGTGGCGTGTTTTTGGTGCGACCATTTACGAATCAACAAGGTTGGTCGCTGAAAGTGACGATCCCTGGATCCCTTGCTACTGGTACAGAAGAAGAGATCTCTGTCAAGATTCGTAGGACGCAGATTCCGTTGGTGACTGTGAAAGCCAGTACTTTGCATGTGTTGCAAGGTACAACGACAGATCCTGGTTTGATCTTTCATTGGCGCTTCCCTCGTCGACTCCAAGCAGACATGAGGTGGTTGGCTGCATATGTGGCCTTGTCACGTGTGCGCTCCTTGGATCGTCTGCGATCTGTCGGTCTCGACAATAAGATTCGTGCCATCTTGGAACAAGGACCTCCAAATACTTTGCCTGCCAGATTCCATGTTTTGTTCTCGGACAAAGAATCCGAGACACAAACCTTCGCAAAGGAATGTCTCAGACTTCTTCGATGGTGACCCTCATGTCACCAGATCACCTCCAGTACCTGAAGCAAAGAGAGGAAAAGTAATCAAAAGAAATACTTCGCTTCGGTGTCGCCTTGGCTACAGTGGTTTCTTGGCTTCTACTCTACCTTTACTAGCTACAGGTAGTAGCTGTCATGAGAGCATTTGTGACTCTAGCTTTGTTACTTCTCTGACCTTCTTGTCTACTGAGATCGAGGTCTGCAACCTTTTCTGCATCGGGTTCATGTCCTTTTGATGGAGTTCGACTCGGATGTTGGTTTTGTGGCTCAATTTCTAATGCATCGCATAGGGACGCTGTGTTCTATGCATGGCTTGAACCTGTGTGAGTCCCACAAGTGTTGACTCTTATGACGGTCAAAGTCGAGAAACCGGGCGGAGGTGAAGATAGGCGTCGCTCTCCTTTGTCAGAACTGCAGGCCGCCGCGCGACACGGTCGGTTTGTGGTCCAAGTAAAGTTTCAAAAGGTGGAAGAGTACACATATACCCGGCAAGGCGCGCCGACCAAGGGAAAGCGGTTGCACGTGCTGTTTGCTAGCGCGGAAGAAGGTGCATATGTGTCTGGTCGCATGGTCATGTGGCAACAGAAGTCTGGCGAGTTGGAAGCTGCGGCTGCGCGCTTCCAGGTGGGTTCGCACTTCGAAATGAAATCTGTCGTCTTTCTCCAGAAAGAGGTAGCCGAATATATTCACACTCCGTTGAAAGTGGTTCTGGATCTGCGACAGACTCACTTCGATTCGGTTCTACAGGGACAATTTCCCAACTTTTGCCTGGGCCCACCGACACGTCTGAAAGACATTCTGGAGTTAACAGATGGTCGACAACGCTTCGATATCACGAGTCTCGTGCGGCTGCGCGGAGACCCGCGTACCGTAACCACCCGGCAGGGTCAACGTGTGGCGCAGGACATCGTGCTTCGAGACGAGTCTTGTGTGCAAGACGGACATCGGGCAGAGATCACCACGTCCATTTTCGCGGAATCACAAGCGAAACTGGAAGAATTTATTGCTTTGGTGAATCTGGAAAAGCCGTTGACTTTCTTTGGCTTCGATGTGCAAGTCCGTGGTGCTGAAATCAAGGTCACTCCATCTTTTCAAGACTTTCGCTGTGAAGTGGCTGTCTCCGTCCGTGCGGCTGCGCAGGACGAAAGACAGAACGAGATTTGGAAGGAAGCAGGGCAGACGCTGACGCATGAATGGCAGCCCTCGGTTTCTACGGACTACACAAGCAAAGAAGGCTTTTTATCCTTTTGTGCTTTGCTGGATGCGTATAGCCAACAAGACGCAGCTGCCTTGCATGGCAAGTTGTTTCAACTCAACAACATCCATGTGCCTTACCCACCGGAGCACCACACGGTGGAACGACGTGTGCTTTGGTCCACACGGATTCGAGATTGTAGCGGCAGCTTGGAAGTCGCCATTCGACAAAAGGCAGCCTGCCAGCTCGCCAAAATCGATACAGCTGATCACGAGAATGCCGTCATGGAGTTCAATAGTCAGCATGGCGGTGACCTGTTATCGTGGCCTTTGCTTGCCAGTGTCAAGATCTTGGTCACACTTCGTGGTGACAATGACTCTGGTGCCACACAGGCGACTGACAGCGTCTCCACGACGAGTTCCTCGAAGCGGATGCGCTTCTTAGTTGTGGAAGCTTCGGAGCAGGACCTGCAAGCGACGCCCACAAAGGCTGTGCTGGCCGTTGTTCATGCCTTGAGCCATGTGCCGTGCAGCGGAGACGCGTTTGCGGCTGCATTGCTGTCGCAATTGACCAAGAATAGTTTTGGCGTTTTTCAAGTGCAGCCAGAGGTTGTGGTAGCGCACCTGGAGACTGGTGCCTTGGAACGCCACGCTAAACGTCGCCGGGTTACTTGTGCGAAGGCCTTGGTGATGCTTCTTTCGAAAGAACGGACGCAGCAAGAAGCGTTGGGCTCAGACAGTTATGGCATTCGGTTGGTGACCAAGAATGTTCGCGACGCTTTGGCTCCAGATGCAGGCCCTGTGACTGTGGTGGCATATTGTCAGCGACATGCTTTGAAGGATTTCATTTTGGATCCTCCACGGACTGGAACCAAAACCCAATACGCTCTGGCATTGATCTCCGATCTGAGCACTACATCAAGTGAAACCACATATGTGGTGGAACAATTGCAGTTGCTGCAAGAAGGCGATGCAGAAGCTGCAATGATATGTCTGCGGCGTTTGGAGCAACTGACTGCCTTGATCGCTTCTCGTCAACAGACGTCGGATCCCCTACCAGCCTGGACGGACACATTGGCGGAGAGTGCCTCCCGCATCGCTTGTCCACGCATCTCGGCCTATCCCGCAGGGGACACATGGGAGAGTCCAGTGAAGGCGTCCCAGGAGGTACCGTTCACGGCAGCTGACACCCCGGGCACAGGCTAGCTCATAGTTGTCTCCCTTCCGCTGTTGCTGCGACTGCGCGCAACATGGTTCTCTTACTACAGAATCTTTTTTGACTTTCCATGAGGCATCTGTTGCTCATGTGTCATTCTGCATGAACCTGTGTTACTCTGCGGCTGCGCGAGGCCGATGACTTTCTTCTCCTACCTTGAAAGATTGCCGGCCACGCCGCTGCGCGCTGGATATCGTGCACCTTGGATTGACGCATGCAACTGAAAGAAAATATGTGTTGCTTGCACTTCCTGAGTGTATGTTACGAACGCCAGCCTTCGTAGAAGACGCCAGCTGCGTTGTGTTTGCGAACGACGGGAGTCTTCTAGGGGGTGTGGGGGGGGGTAGCCCGCAAAAGTGCTAACTGAACTCGGAGCCTCCTGCTGAACCCCATGGCGGCCAGGGAAGGTTTTTGAGGTCGTTTTGGAGGCGATTTTTTTTGTTCGTGTTTGTGGGGTGCATGGTGATGCACGGGATGCAACGAACGCTCAGTACCTCTGCGGGCAGTGTACCGCGCCACGCCCCAATCACGTAACACAGCCCTGCATCTTGATTGGCTGTTCTCACCAGGCCCCAAAGCAAGCAAGAGTTCTTGGACCCTTCCAGCTTCCTGTGTAGCCACAAGGACGTCAGCCTTCGTAGCAGACGCCAGCTCAGTTGTGTTTGCGAACGAGGTGAGTCTTCTAAAACATTGCGCCTGCCACGAAATTTACAAAGGCTCCGATGCCTTGCACCTGCCACGTAAAATGACGTTTTCAAGGCTCCAATGTGTCCAATTCCTTGCGCCTGCCGTCCTAGCAAAATTTGTCATGACATGTCATGACTAGTTAAGTAGATCTCTGGGGCCATGACACTCCAGCTTGGGACAAGCGGTACTGCCACTGTGACAGGTCGAGGAGATTTGCGTTCAGGCCAAATGCACTTCCTGTCCGAAAACGAGCACGGCACTGCACGAGAGCACCGCCCCGGAACAGCGGACAGCATCCCCACCACTTTGTGCGAACCTGCGCAGTCGGACTGGACATGAGGAATTCACACAGTAACTTTTGCGCG